GAAGAAGAAGAAGAAGAAGAAGAAGAAGAAGAAGAAGAAGAAGAAGAAGAAGAAGAAGAAGAAGAAGAAGAAGAAGAAGAGAGATATGAGGAAAGAGGGAGAGAGCGATGTTTGGCAGGAAGGGAAACAATGGCTGGAGCGAGGGGCGGAGAAAGGGATGCAAGAAGGAAGCTGTGTGGAGCCCGCGGACCAACTCCCCGTGAGGAAGGCCGTCACCGCGCGCTGCTTGGAGCAAGAAAAATTAAAAACTGGGGGAAAAGAGCAGCTGGAGGTGATGCAGTCAGAGGGAGAAGCTTACAGAAGAGGAGCCCGAGGTCAGGGTGGCATTTGGGGGCGCAGTGTGCAGGACCTCCCTTTCCACATGGGTTTTCCCTGGAAGAGGCCTGGGCCAAGGAGGGGGCCCTGGGGAGCCCTTGCGGAGGAGTTGGGGAGAAGGGACAGTTCGGCTCTGGGGCTCTGGCCAGGAAGCACTGATTCATCCCAGAACTAGGTCAGATTTTTTTTTCCCCCACTAAAATCCAAGGGGGGAGAAAACCGAGCAGGAGCCAACAGACTTAGTGGCCGGAACATCTGTGGGGTGATGGTGGTGGGGGCTGTCCAGGGCTCCTTCCTTCTTCTTGAGCCATAAATACACTGGGGGGGGGGATTGCAGAGCCCCCCATTCCAAGCACCACCGCAGAATCCTGGCTTCTTCTTAATCACCCTCCTGCCCCATCTGGCCTCTCTCTGCAGGAGACCTCGTGGATGTCCTCAAGGTCCTGGGTGTGCGTGGGGGCCAGGCGGGGGTCCCTGAGGGGCCTGGCTTGTGCCCCCAGCGGGCTCCCGAGGGTGACCGGGCATTCAGATTGGGAAAGATCAGCTTGCCTAGTGTCCCCACACAGGAGCTTTTTCCAGGTAAGTGGTTAGCAGGGGCAGGGCATCCCCGTGGAGGGCGTGTGGGTCCCTCCAAGGTCACCTGAGCTGGCCAATGGCCTCTGTCCAACCAGATGGACGCTTTCCTGTCAACTTCTCGGTGATGGCCACTCTTCGGGCCCAGCCAGCCAACCAGTCTGTCCTTCTGTCCATCTACGATGAGAGGGGTGCCCGGCAGCTGGGGCTGGCACTGGGGGCGGCCCCAGGTCTCCTGGGTGACACCTTCAGTCCCCATCCCCAACCACCCAACCTTGCGGATGGCACGTGAGTAGTGCAGAAGGAGTGGATATGGGTCCCCTGAGACCTAGAGATACACACTCTGAGGCTGTCTCTTGGCAGGTGGCATCGCCTGGCGGTCAGTGTGGATGGTGACAAGGTGACACTGGTGGCTGACTGTGAGCCTCAGCCTTCTGTGTCCAGCCAGGGACCTCGATCCATCAGCACCGCCGGCCTCACCATCCTGGGGACACAGGACACTGAAGAGGAGACTTTTGAGGTAGGAGAGATGGGGAGACTGAGGCCGGGGTGGGTCATTCAGCCCACAACCTGCTCAGGGAGCTCGGGGGTGGTTTCCACCACCGCTGTGCTTCTCCGGGGTTGCAGAGCAAGGGATGCATCTCGTTGGCATGGGTGGAGGATGTACGTGGCCTGCCGTGGGCGTGCGGCTATGGTGTGCGATGGTGACTGCCCTGCTACGGTGCTGGTGGCTGTACTGGGCATGAGTGTGTGGGGTGTGGCACTGGACCCACAAAGGCAGTGTGTGTGGCCGTGTGACAAACACATGTGTCGTGTGGTGACTGTCCTTGAGACTGCACTGTGTGTGACAGCAAGGGGTGTGTCACCTCCTCCAGGCCAGGAACCTTGCTCTCTGGTCCCCGTGCTGAGGCCCCACATGTGGAGGGGCTCTTGGCAAGGGGTCCTGTGGGCGGGGTGGTGTCGTGTGGGGTTGCTCTGTGTGGACAGAAACCAAGGCCCCCTGCCAGGAGCCGGGTGGGGCTGTGCCCAGAGGACCTGGGGGGTCACACTCAGCCTGGGGTCCCCTCCCCTGTTGGTCTTTCTCCAGGGAGACATCCAGGAGCTACTGATAAGCCCAGACCCCAGGGCTGCTTTCCAGGCCTGTGACCAGTACCTGCCTGGCTGTGACAAACCGGACCCCACAACCTCAGGGGTGAGCTCCAACCCACCTGCTGTGCAGCTGGTCAAGGGCTAGGGGGCGCCCTAGACCTGACTGGTTCCCTCTTCCCAGCGTCCCCAGGCTGACCCAGAGAGTCCTTCTCCTCGACGCAAGGGCAAGGGGAAAGGAAAAGGAAAGAAAAAGGGGCAGGGTCGCAAGGGGAAGGGCAGGAAGAACAAGAACAAGGGAAACCTGGCCCCCAGCCCCTCTCCTGCGTCCCTGTCCCCGGAGAGCCAGGTAAGGCGGCCGCGACCTCTCGCTTGTGCTCCCGCCTGCAGAGCTGTCTGAACCCCATCCTCCGTCTTGGGTCTAAGGCTCTGATCCCCGAGTTCTGACGTCTGTCAGACTGTCGGGGTGGGGGGCTGCTTTTGTCTTATGACAGGCTCCATGCCTGTGCCCCTAAATTCTGCTGCTGGGGGCTAGAAAGAGAAGTCACCCCCAGGTGAGCACCTGCTTATTAGGTGTTCTTGAGGGGTACTACTGGGGGGGGACACTGGATGTGGCTTCATACTCTTTGAGGTTCACTGATAAGGCTTTCATGAGGTTTATTCTCTGCGGGAAGTCCTACTTGGGGGACATTGAGGGAAATATTAATCAAGATCAATATTTGGGGTGTCTCCAGTTGGGGTCACTGTGGAAGGTCACAGCTGGAGGTAACCGCTACAATGCACAAGGGGGCCACTGATTGGGGTCACCAATTGCAGGAGTAATGTTCAGGGGGTCACGGGCAGGGCTGTTAGTTTGGGGGTCTCCAAGGGTTGGTAGTGAGGAGCCCAGCCGCTGGTGAGTGGAATTACTATCTAGGGGTCCTGGGTTGCCAGCACCGATTGGGCTACTAGGGACACTCACCGCGGGACGGGCACTGATCGGAGGAGTGATTGATTAGGAGCGCCCTGCTCCTCCTTAGTCACCAGAGAATGCTTCCTATTGGGGGGTGTCGCTGGGCGGAAGACTGAGGCCATCAATGGGAATAGTTCATGGGCTCGACACTTCGTGTGGTAGGAATAATTGCGGTCATGCGCTGGGGGGTCCCTAGCTGGTGGCATCTGGGTAGGGGTCCTTGCGGTGGGCCGTGGGTGGCGGGCCTGGTTTGGGCAGGATGCTGGGTGCGATCGGCCTCGGCACAGTGGCTTTCTGGCCCCAAAGCGTCTTTCCTGCCGTTGCTCGGCGCCGCCCTTCGCCGGCCAGGCCAGGCCGGGCCGCCCTCTCTGAGCCCTGACCCAGTTCCTTCGCAGCTGTCTACGCCGGAGGAGCTGGCTGTTTGCGGCTTGGCCTGCTGGCCGCCGAGCTCTGCCCGGGGAGAGGCCTGTGGGCCAGGCTTCCGGGAGTCTGGCCCCGGGCGCTGCTGGATCTTGACCTTGACCGCCGGGCTCGGGAGCCGCCTGGCTCAGCCTTGCAGGCCGGGCCCCGCGCCCGGGCCGTGCGCAACGGCGCCCCCTGCCGGCCATCCCGGGCCTCGCCGCGCTCGCAATCCCCCCCCCCCGCGGCCTCCACGTTTGTGGGGTCCTCCGCGCTCCCCAGCGCGTGCACCCCCTCTGCCTCACCAGACCCGATTCTCCCTCCACGCCCGCTCCAGGCCACCACTGACGCCCCCCAGCCCGAGTCACCGGTTCCAAACCCGCCTGAGCCCCCCACGCCTGTAGCCCTCCCTTCCACGGTGACCTCGGCTGTGACCCTGGGCCACCACAGCGCCATCCTGGAGGTCAGGGAGGCCCTGGGGCGGTGGCGGTGAGGGGGTGCCGAGAGGGACAAACTCTGATTGTCTCGATGCCTCAGGGGGAACCGGAGCCTCAAGGTGGAACCCAGCTCAGTCTTCCTGATGCAGAGGCAGCCGGAGAGGAGGAAGAAGGAGGGGGCTCCACTCTCGACCCCAAATTCCGGGCAGCAGAAAAGCCTTTTCAGACTGAGTTCCACATCTTCCCTGTGAGTGCGGGTGTTGGAGTTGGTGCAGCGCAGGGACAGCCCTGGCTCTTTTTTTATTCTTTATTTAGACTTCTTGTTGTTGTTGTTGTTGTTGTTGTTGTTGTTGTTTGTCTGTTTGTTTTTCCCTGGTACCAGGGATTGAACTCAGGACCCTGCGTTTGCCAGGCAAGCGCTTATTCTACTGAGCTATCTCCCCAGCCCCTATTCTTTATTTTGAGACAGGATCTCATTAAGTGGCTAAGTTGCCCAGGCTGGGCTTGCACCTCAGACCCTCCTGTCTCGGCCTCCCAGAGTGCTGGGGTGACAGGCGAGCACTGCTGTGCCTGCCTTGACACTCTCCCTGAACTCTGTTTATCTTGCCCGAAGCCCAGCCAAGTTGACAGATATTTCGTGGGTGCTGGCCCCGTGGTTGTGTGGGCGGTGAGGATCGTTTGGCTTTCAGTCTGGGTGGGCTGGGAAGCCACCCTGGGTTGGAACTTGTCGGACCCGGAGCTCTCACTGTGGACAGTAGGGGGAGCCAGAGAGGCCGCAGGGAAGCCTACCGGATAGGCTGGAGCCGTGACCTCCCGGCTTCCGTAGAGGTCACGGAGGACAGTTAAGGACAGCAGTGGTGATGTCTAGACTTTGCAACCTTGTTTGACGCGAAAAGTGAGATGCCTGCCAGGGATGGGTGGGCCATTCTGGAACTCAGGGAGACTCGGCCTGTGCTGAGGGATGGTTTCTGCACTTAGAAAAGAGCGCATGGTGGGTTTGGTGACCAATCCCAGTCATCCCAGCACTCTGGGAGGCCGAGGCAGGAGGGAGGCTTAATGACTTAGCGACTTGTCTCGAAATAAGAAATGGGGACGTGGCTCAGTGTCACACCTTAGATTCAACCTCCAGTACTGAAAGAAAAAAAAAAAAAAGCAGAGACGGCTCCTAGATCCCAGCCTCAGTACTGGGCAGAGGAGGAGGGAAAGAATTGTAAGTAATTCTGGGGGCTTATTCTGCACCAAGCTCTGTTTTTGTTTTGTTTTGTTTCAATTTTTGTTTTTGAGACAAGGCCTCACTATGTAGTTCAGACTGGCCCAAATTCATGTCATGAGATCCCCCTGCCTCAGCCTCCTGACTGTCAGGATGACAGGTGTGCGCCACCACGGCAGGCTTGCCAACCTTAGCTTTATTTTTATTTTATTTATTTATTTTTGCGGTGCTGGGGATTGAACTCAGGACCCTGCGCTTGCCAGGCAAGTGCTTATTCTACTGAGTTGTCTCCCTGGCCTCCCTCAAGCTTAGCTTTAACTCACTCCTCTTCCTCTGGGATCTAGACGCTTATGGGTCACCCGGGGACAGTCCAGGTGGCCAGTTCCCTGTGACCAGCTGTGGTTGAGGAAATTTCCATCACCCACGGTAAGGCCTGTGGCTGTGCAGTTTATCGTGGCCATGTCGGGGTCAGGGACACTACTGAGCTTCCTCGCGTTCCCTGGCTGGAGGAAGGGCAACAGCATCGAGGGGTGCAGCGCAGGCACACCCCACCTGGATGTGCGAGTGGGGGCTGGGAATATGGCTAACATCTTTTCCTCCGTCTTCCTCCCCCAGGGCGCTGGAGAGAAGGGGGAGAAGGGAGCGAAGGGCGAACCCGCAGTTGTTGAGCAGGTGAGGTGCTGTGGCTTCCAGGGGCTGGGGTCCCCCTAGAGCAGGGATCACACTTCTGTCTCCCACCAGGGTCAGACATTTGAGGGACCTCCAGGAGCCCGGGGACCCCATGTGAGTATCAGCCTCTGGCCTGCCTTTTATTTTTTTGTTTTTTGAGACAGGGTGTCACTCTGTAGCCCAGGCTGGTCTCAGACTTGCAGTGATCCTCCTGCCTCAGCCTCCTGGGTGCTGGGATGGCAGGCGTGTTTGAGTGAGCCCAGGGGTGGGCAGCTGGGCTATTCTATTACCCGATCCCATGGGAGGCTGTGCTACTCTGGGGCTGAGTCATGATGATTGTTGGGATGCAGAGTTGGGGCGATGGGGGGTAGAGAGGCTCCGGGTGTGTGTGTGGGGGCTGGTGCCATGGTAGGTTGGGAATCAAACCTTTGTGCCTGCTGTGACTGCTGTTTCTCTATCCCCAACAGGGGGTGGCTGGTCCCACAGGCCCCCCTGGGCCCCCAGGATTCCCCGGGGACCGTGGTCCTCCGGTAAGAGATTCCCTAGGATGGCCTTTGGCAGGGATACGGGCCTGGTGTGTATGGGGGACCAGGACAGTGGCTGAGAGGCTGGGCAGCCCCCTTCTGTGCCTTGGAGCTGGCGCTCCTCTTGTGACCTATGCCTACAGCTTTCTTCTGTGTGTCCATGTCCCTTCTCTCCCTGCCCTTCCCCCAACTCTTCTCTCCTCTCGCCATCTCTATCGCTCTCCACCCTGCACCCCGATTTCTCCCACCCTGCATCTCCATTTCCTGCTCCTTTTTCCCTCAGGGCCCTGCTGGCCACCCAGGAACCCCTGGCATGGACGGAGTCCGGGGTCTCCCAGGCACGGTGGTGCTGATGCCGGTAAGGAGCTGCGGCGTGGGGATGAGGCTGGGGACACGGGCTTCTGGGGGACGCTGTCTCGGGGGGCTCCCTCACTCCTGTTGCTCCCCAGTTCCGTTTTGCAGGCAGCTCCCAGAAGGGCCCCCCAGTGTCGTTCCAGCAGGCCCAGGCCCAGGCCGTGCTGCAGCAGACCCAGGTGAGGCATGGGGCTCGGGCTGTGGGGGTTGGGGAGGGGTGGGGAAGTGGGGAGCAGGGGCGGGCCCTGTTCCTGGGGATCCTGGTTTCTGGGAGGTGGAGCAGACTCCGGTATCTTGCATATTGTGGATTTTCTTCCTGTGGTGGAGCTCCCTGTGCCGTGTGGGAGCCACAGCTTCGTGGTCCTCAGCTCCTCCCGAGGTCTCTGCTGCCAGTCCCACAGGCAAGAAGAGCGAATGTCCTGCACCGAGCCTGTGTGCTAGTGCAGGCCTGAGCTCCCAGTATTGAGTGAGGCTGAGGCAGGCGGATCCCAAGTTTGAATCTTCCCTGGGCCACTGAGGGAAACCCTGCCTCAAAATAAAAAATAACAAAAAGGGCTGGGGATGCAGCTCAGTGGTAGAACATTCTGAGTTCAATCATTGAGATCACCACCATCACCAAAAAAAAAAGGGGGGGGCGTGGCCGGCGAAATAGCTTACCTGCTTAGGCAAGCGCAGGGACAGCAGTTGTGTCCCCCACAGCACATGCCACACCTGCCCCGCCCCTGAGTGCAGGCGTGGTGGCACACACCTGTAATCCCAGCGCTGGGGAGGCTGAAAACAGCAGAATCACTATGAGTTGTCCGAGCCGTGTAGTGAAACCCTGTACCAAATACGTTAAAAAAAAAAAAAAAAAAATCCAGTACCTGAACTGGGGATGGGGTGGGCACAATTGAGCCATAGCAGCGCTGTGGGGGTGTCTCATGGGAGACTTGAGGTTCTGTTCCCCACTGTCATTCCAGCTTTCCATGAAAGGCCCCCCTGGCCCGGTGGGGCTCACTGGCCGCCCAGGGCCTGAGGTGAGTAAGGAGCCTGCCTAGGAGAGAGGGGCGCCCATGACCGAGGGCCACATCTGACTGCATCCTCTCTCCTCCTTCCCCAAGGGTCTCCCTGGATACCCCGGTCTGAAAGGAGAAGCAGGGGAAATGGGGCCACAGGTGAGAGTGGGGGTGGGGCAGAAGGGAAGTGGCTTCTGCAGGGGTGCAGGGCAGTGAGGCAGGGGAGCAGTGGAGCTTGGAGTGGCCAGACAACAGCAGTCTTGCAGAAGCACCAGTTTGCTTCTTTTTATCTATTTAATTTTTTTGGTACCTGGACTCAAACGCAGGACCTTATGCTTGCTAGGCAAGTGCTGTGCCACTGAGCTATATCTCTTGGCCCCGGTTTCCTCCTTTGTACTCTTCTTTTTTTTTTTTTTTTAATAAAGGGGTTATTTATTTATGTGTGTGTGTGTGTGTGTGTGTGTGTGTGTGTGGCCAGCTCAGCCCACCAGGGGGCGGGGCTGGCTGGCATGTGGTGCTGGGGGATCGAACCGCAGTCCCTGTGCTTTGCTGAGCTTGTTCTAAGTAGGTGCTTTAGACCACTGAGCCATCTCACCAGCCCATGTGCTATTCTTTTCTTCTCCTTTGCTCTGTCTTCCAGGGTCCACGAGGGCTGCAAGGACCTCCTGGGCCCCCTGGCAGGGAGGGCAAGAGGGTGAGTACCTCGTAGTCTCCAAGACAACTTAGACACACCTCACAGTGACACCTGCAGGTACCCGTGTTGGTAGCAGCACGGCTCATACTAGCTAAGTCTGTAAGCAGCCTATGTATCCTACAGAAAGTGCGGTATTTATACACCATGGAATACTACTCTGTCACAAAAAAGGATATATTCGAGGCGTTGGTAGGAAAATGGCTGCACCTCCAGACCTGGATGTTAAGTGAAGGCTGTCAGAAACAAGAGCTTCTAGATCCCGGGGCTTTTCTTATAGGAGAAAGTCAAAAGTGGAAATAAGTCAAAGAGCAAAATAAACAGAAATGAGAAGAAACAGAGAGCTAGAACTTTTCTAAAATGAAGGGAAACCAAGAGGTGGGGGGGGGCAGGGAGCAGAGAGGGCGGAAAGCGATGGAGAGAGAGTTGGGACGCTTGACGCACACACAGCTTCCCGCGAGGCATGTGTGCCACAAAGAGGGAGTGACAAATGCAGAGTGAACAGGCAAGAGAGCAGGAGCCTTCCTCGTGCCTCGGAGCTATGGCTGCAGGGTCTGGGGCTCCGCCCCTGTGCCCCGCCCCCTGGGGGTCCCCCCCATCGGAGCTCAGAGGCGGGCAAAGAGATGCCTGAGTGGGGGGCCAGCGTCCAGGCGTCAAGGAGGACCTGCAAACTGGAGTAGCTGGGTCGGACCTGGCGCCGGAGCAATTACCACGCAGTACGAGAGGAAGGACAGGTGTTCCAGGCGGGGGGCAGCGTGTGTGCGAGGAGCTCCGTGAGGCGCAGGCTGAGGCAGGAGGATCGAAAGTTCGAGGCCAGCCTGGGTAACTTAGTGAGATTTTTTTGTTTTGTTTTGTTTTGTTTGCTTTTTGAGATAGGGTCTTGTTATGTGGCCCAGGCTGGCCTCCAGCTCATGGCGATCTTCCTGCCTCAGCCTCCCACCTGGCTAGGATGTTGGGCATGTGCCACCAAGCCCAGAAACTTAGCGAGATTCTATTGTAACTCAGACTTAAAAGTATAAAAGACTCTGGGCATAGCTCAGCATGAAGGTTGGTCCTGGGTTCGATCCCCAGTCACACACACACACACACACACACACACACACACACACACACACAGTGGGTGGCTGCCTTGGTGAGGTCGTAAGCGTGTGGCTGAGTCCCTGGGAACTTTAGCCTTGACTCTCAGCCTCTGTCCTCCAGGGCCGCTCTGGAGCAGATGGTGCGCGGGGGCTGCCGGGAGACACAGGACCCAAGGTGGGTGCTGGGCCAGGACAGGGTGGGGCAGCCTGCAGGGTCCTGGATTCTGCCCAGCTGGTTTCTCTCTGGACAGGGCGACCGGGGCTTCGACGGCCTCCCAGGACTGCCTGGAGACAAGGGGCAGAGGGTGAGTGTGCGGCCCCCCTCGGTGCCCCTCTTCTCCTCCCCCCTGGGGTCCTGCCCCACATCTCCACATTGACCTCCCTTCTGTCCTTCCTCCAGGGCGACTTCGGCCGTGTGGGGCAACCAGGCCCCCCGGGAGAGGATGGTGACAAAGTAAGTGTGGAGGGGAGCTTGGGGGTGACAACCAGGAGGAGCGTGTGGGAGGCGAGACTGGGCCCTCAAGCCTGTGGCCTCAAAAAGCTTGCAGCTGGGCTTGGCAGGTGGCAGGTTCCTGTCAAGGGAGGCTGAGGCAGGCGGGTCTCTAGGCTGAGGCCCATGGGAGCTGCTTAGTGAAATGCAGTTTCAGGCTAAAAAATAAGAACAGGGCAGGGAATGGAGCTCTGTGCGAAGGTCCAGGCCTCCATCCTCAGCAGTGGGGAAAAAAATTGAACCCAGAGATAAAGATTGGGGTCAAGAAGTTGCGCTTGGGACAGTGAGTTACAAATGGGAGTAGAACCCATGTACCCTATCTGTGGGAGCCCTGAGATAACATTAGAGCTCTGAGGCTCCCCAGAAGGGCTTCCAGGCCCCGGGTCTCCCCACATAATGCCTCTTTCCCACAGGGAGCAGAGGGACCCCCAGGGCCCACTGGCCAGGCTGGGGAGCCGGTGAGTATAGGGACCCGAGCCCCCTGCTTGGGACAGGGGAGGTGGGACCCTCTGGGTCCCAGGACTCCCGGGGCCACACAGAGGTGATGTTGGGGTAACACCTGTCCCTCCTTGCAGGGTCCCCGAGGTGTAATCGGCCCCCGAGGCTCCCCTGGCCCCCTGGGACGCCCGGTGAGGATGACACTTGCTGTCCCATCCCCTCCTGTCCCCTCTGGCCCTCTGTGTGTCCAGCTGTGGTGTCCAGCATCTCTTTCTGTCCGCATCTCTGGCTGTCTCATCTCAGGGCCCCGGCTTGTCCCATCCTAATGTCACCTCCTGTCTTCTCCAGGGCATCACCGGAAGTGACGGAGCTCCTGGCGCCAAAGGCAATGTGGTATGTGTGCTTTGTGATTGTCACTTCGTTATTATTGCTATGTGCGCAGTACCTAGTCAAGCCCAGGTCCTTCCCACTGGGATCCATCTCCAACTCTTTTGCTATTTTTTAAGTTGGAGGCAGGCTTTCACTAAGTCACTAAGTTGCTCATGCTGGGCTACAACTTGGGACCCTCCTGACTCAGCCTCCCAGAGTGCTGGGATAACGGGTGTGCATCACACCACCTGGCTGGATGAGCTCCTCTGGCTGGGGACACCATGACCTCTTCCAGCTTCACCGACCCCCACTTTCTCTGCAGGGTCCGCCTGGAGAGCCAGGGCCGCCCGGACAGCAGGGAAATCACGGGGCCCAGGTTAGAGCCATCTTCTGAACAGTGGGGGTGACATTAGACCTTGACGCCTCCCCACCCCTCCTCTGGCACTCACTGCCTCTTCCTACTCCCTCCCGCCATTTGTTTTTTCTGTCTTCAGGGGATCCCCGGTCCCCAAGGACCCATCGGCACCCCAGGGGAGAAGGTAAGGACCCTGATGCCTATCGCCTCCTCTCCTGTCACCCCCCCCCCCGCCGTGTCACCAGGAAGAGCTTTGTGCCAGGGCCCTGGCAAGTGATCAGTTGCCACGTGCCATGTTCGCTCAGCCAGCCTATGGCAACAAAGTGCCTTTGTTGGGGGAGGGTTGGGTGCAGGAAAGGGAAGCCCACCACGGCCGATTGCACAAGGGGACCTTGTCAGGAGGGAGAGGGGCCCCGGGAGGCTTTCACACACTGCTTCCTGGCTCCGTGGCGGGAGGCTCTGTCACCCGGACACCTGCACCCTGCTCCCTGGCAGATGCGCTCCTTCCGGTGTGGGTCTGTTTGCCCTCACCCTGGCCAGCTGCGGCTTTGACACAGTTGTGGGCAGCTGTGTCACCATTTCTGGCCCCGGTCCCCTGTGATCATAGATCCTTACCCTCAACCACCTGTGTTTGTCACAGCTTTTCGGTGCTGGGACAGAAACCCCTGATAGTGAAAGCTCCAGAGAGGCGAGGTTGGATTGAGCTCACAGTTTCGGAGAGTTCAGTCCATGGCCTCCAGGAAGGAGGAATCACTATGGGGGAGACCTAGGCTCCCCGCGGAGGGGAGCTGCACACCCCAGGGCAGCCAGGAAGCAGAGAGGGAGAAACAGTCAGGGAGGAAGGCCGGGGCCACTTAGAGCCCCAGGGTGGCAGCGCTCCTTGTGGTCCCCACCTTTGCAAAACTCTGCCTCTGAAACAGGAGACTTGGGGGCCATTTTTACTTTTTGTTTTTGTTTATTTTGAGACAGAGTCTTGCTAGGCCACTAAGCTGTCCCAGGGGGACTCTACCTTTCAATGCCCTGCCTCAGCCTCCCAAGTGCTGGGATGACAGTTGTGGGCACTGTGCCTGGCATGGGAGGCGCTTTTAATGATAGGGATGTAGCTGGGTAGCCCTGTGCCCCAGGAGACCTCTGGTACCTTTTTATGTCCCTTTTCTCCACAGTCTAAGAGCAGCAGGGTTTGCATGGCCCAGGGAGGGCAGGGGAATTCCCTTGGGACACACAGCAAGTCAGGACAAAGCTGAGGCAGGCAGATTTCCTGGGCTTGAGGCGGCTGCAGGCCTGCGCAGAGCCGTGCTGTTCCTGATGGAGCCCCAGAGCCCCGAAACCCTCTTTTCCTATCCATCTTCTTTTAGGGCCCTCCTGGAAACCCAGGTATTCCAGGTCCCCCAGGAGCTGATGGCCCTGTGGTGAGAACCAGGGGCTGGGACAGGGTGGAGGAGGAGGAGGAGGAGCGGGAGGCTTGTCTTGGGGACTCTGCAGGCGAAGCTTGTTCTTTAGTGACTATCTATTTCCTCTTCAGGGTCACCCAGGCCATGAGGGTCCCACAGGCGAGAAAGGGGCCCAGGTGAGAGACTTGGGAGGCTGCTGGGGTAGGAGGGGGGGCAGGGCCAGGAGGCGGTTGCGGGGGAGAAGGATGCCATGGACGAAAGGGACAGAGCAGGGTGACACTAACCTTCTCATCTTGTCAGGGGCCACCAGGCTCGGCAGGGCCTCCAGGCTACCCTGGACCCCGGGGTGTGAAGGTAGGTGACGCAGGCAGCCTGTGGGCCAGGGAGTCATCTTCGCCCTAAACTTCCGGATGGGGAGCTGGGCGTGTTGATCCACGCCTGTCATTCCAGCACTTGGGGGGCTGAGGCAGGAGGATCATTGTGGGTTTAAAGCCAGCCTGGCATAGCGAGTGCTAAGGCTCTGAAAACAGAAGCAAGGAAAACAGTTAAGGCCCCTAAGCGCAGAGATAGTAGCGATCGAGCGAGGGGGACATTCCAAGGAGAAGCTGGAAAATGCTTCCCTAAGATGAAAGAGTGAAGGTACAGTAAAATGTTTTGGGGGAGAGAGAATAATAGGAAGGGAAGATGGGAGGGAGAGAGGGTGGGAGCACCAGAGAATGAGACCAAGAGGGAGATTCCATTCATCTAACCTTTTCAACAGCATATTTTTAAAAATATTATTTATTTATTTATTTATTCATTTGGTACAGGATCTTGCTGTGCAGTCCAGACTCCTGGTGATCCTCTTGTCTCAGCCTCCCCAGAGCTGGGATTACAGGCGTGCACCACCACACTCAGTTTAGGGGCTGGCATGGTGCGCCTGGGGTTCCAGGGCCAGCACGGAATGTGGTATTGGGGATCGAACCTGGGTCCTTGCCCTTCCCAGGCAGGCACTTAGACTGCTGAGCTATCTCCCTGGCCTCTAGTATATTGTTTTAATTATTGTTTTATTATTAGTAGTTGTTATTCTCTTCTTCACCTAATTTTTTAAGTCAAACTATCCTATAGATAGAGGAAAAGTAATAAAGGAAAAAACATGGAGGAAATAATAGAGGCAGAAACATGATATACCCAGGAGCCGGGGTTGTGGAGAACGTCGGTCTGCCCAACACTGTGGGAGGCCGAGGCACGAGGATCACAAATGCAAGCCAAACTGGACTACTTAGTGACTTAGTGAGATCTTGTCTCCAAAAAAGGAGAAGGAGGAGGAGGAGGAGGAGGAGGAGGAGGAGGAGGAGGAGGCAGAGGAGGAGAAATGGCTGGGGATAGAGCTCCATGTGAAGCCCCTGGGTTCCATCCCTAATACTATAAATGAAAATCTGAGCCCTAACCCCAACCCCAAGCCATAGCCTATCGAGGGCTTGGAACGTGGTTTCGGGTCCCACTGGGGGCTCGCGATCTGTCCCTGTGGATAAAGGGAGACTGCACGTAGTTACGCTGCTGTCGGAGTGGAGGCCACTTACCTTGTGGCCAAGGCTGGAGGCCAGCTGTAGCCGAGACTGCGGTATTTACGTTGCGGTCCAGTGAATCGGCTGGTGTTACACGCACGGTTACGTTGTGGCCCTTGAGCTTGGCTATACTGTAGTCTTTCTGAGCCTGTGTGACCGGCACCCAGCCCCGGTGAGCAGCCCAGGGGACAGTCCTCTAGCTTAAGAATGTGGCTGCAGTCTGGGGCGATCTTCCTCCTCCAGCCAGAGTGTGGACACAGTGACCACGTGACCCAGTTCAATGCTTGGCACATTGGCTTTTCCTGCACACCCTGCACACAGGACCCGGGTGCAGCCCAGGAACAGCAGAGTGGGCACTTCCAGCGCTGAGGGTGGCTTGTTTCCTCTGGATCGGACCCCTGCCCTTACTGTGGTCCACAGGCCTCTTGGGACAGTTAGGGCTGTTTTGAGCAGGGGACCAAACCTGGTTGCTTGTCAAGCAGGGAGAGAGACTGAGAGCTTTTTGTTTTGAGCCAGGGTTTTGCTTTGTAGCCCAAGCAGGCCTCAAATTTGTGGTGATCCTCCTGCCTCAGCCTCCTGAGTGCTGGGATGACGGGTGTGTGCCACCTTGCCCAGGTACTGAGGATATTTTAAACATTTATTTTGCAGGGTACCTCAGGCCATCGAGGCCTCCAAGGAGAAAAAGGAGAGAGGGTAAGCGAGGAAGGGAGATCTTGGGGGGGGGGACGCCCCATTACGGAGCCCTGGCTCTGTGCCTTTCCTAACTTTGGCCGCTTTCTCTCTCCCAGGGAGAGGACGGCTTCCTTGGCTTCAAGGGTGATGTGGGCCCAAAAGGCGACTGGGTAAGACGAGCTGCATCAGGTGGTGTGGGTGCATCGAGGGGCTCTGGGAGAGCCAGCGAGGGGGTGAGCTGGGGGGCTCGGGGAGCAGGAGGGGCAAAGGCTGACATGAAGGCCTCTTCCATTCTTCTATTCCAGGGACAGCCGGGGCCTCCCGGTCTCCGTGGAGAGGACGGTCCTGAGGGGCTGAAGGGGCCGGAGGGGCTGGCGGGAGAGGAGGGGTCTCCGGGCGCCGCTGGCGAGAAGGCGAGTGTGCTACGGTCAGCCCTCCCTACAGGCAGGCTGCTCCCTGCCTTGGCCTCTGTCCCCCGTTTCCTGGTGCTGGGGATGGAACCCAGAGCCCTCTGCACGCTGGCAAGCGCTCGCACCCAGCCCCCTGCGGCCCCAGGTCTCCTACCACAGGGGCAGCCCCACCCTCGTCTTGCCTCTGAATTCCGCAGTTCAGCACTGCAGAGCAATCCCAGCACAAATCTTAGTGTTCTCTCTCTCTCTCTCTCTCTCTCTCTCTCTCTCTCTCTCTCTCTCTCTCTGTCAGTCGTTTTTGAGGCAGGGTTTTGACGTGTACTTCAGGCTGGCCCTGAGCTCACTTTGTAGCCCAGGCTGGTTTTAAACTCACAAGGCTCCTCCTGTCTCAGCCTCCCGAGTGCTGGGATTGCAGGCGTGCACTACCATGCCTGGCATTTTTATTTCTTCGGCTAATGCAGAAGAAGCTATTGTAATGGACCGATGTGTTGATTGGTGCTGGGGAATGAATTTAAGTCCTTTGCATCGAGCTGCATCCCCAATGCTTATTTATTTATTTATTTATTTATTTATTTTAATGTGTTTGGTACAGGCTGTCACTATGCAGCTGGGGCTTGTAGTGACCCTCCTGTTTTCAGTCTCCCCAGTGCTGGGATTATAGGCGTGCACCACCACGTGGGTTCTGGGTGGCTGGTTCAGTAGGCCCGGATCAAACCCCACTCACTTGCCTAAGCAGGCAGGTGCTTAGTCTCGCTGGCTCTCATATATATATATAATTTTTTTTTTAAATTTTGAGACTCAGTCTTCCCAAGTCACTAAATTACCCAGGCTGGGCTCAAACTTATGATCCTTCTGCCTCAGCCTCCCAGAGTGCTGGGATTAGAGGCTGTACCACCACAGCTGGGGCAATAGGCACTTAATGAGTCAAGGAAGCTGAGTTTGTAGTAGTTGAATAACCTATCCAAGGACAGCCCCACGCGGCCACCAGGACTCAAACACAGTTTCTCTGATTCTCAGTGTGCAGCCACAGCCGTCTTGACCTTTCCCCTTTGACCTCTGGGTTCCTGTGTCTGACTTTGGTCCTGTAATCTCCCTGCAGGGCAATCTTGGCGTGCCCGGTCTCCCAGGATATCCAGGACGCCCAGGACCCAAGGTGAGAAGCCGGGGAGTTGGGGTGGGTGGAGCAGGAGCCGGGAACAAATATCTGGCATCCCGGCTGAGCTGAGAGGGAGGGGTGAGCTTTCCAGCCGATGGGTCCCTTGAGAGAGGATAAAAAATCGGGTTTTGCCCTCAGCCACACATGTACTCAAAGACCCCCTTGTGGCGGGTAACATGGTTTTTGAGTCCATCTCTTTATTTGAGACAGGGCCTTGCTACGGTAGCCCAGGCTAGCCTTGAACTTTCAGTGATCTTCCTGCCTCAGCTTCCTAAGTGCTGGGATGACAGGTGTGTGCTGCCGCACCTGGCCAAAATATTATGCATATTTGTTTGCCAGCATTTTAAAAAATGTATTTAGTACAGAGTCTACAGGGTCTCATTACACAGTTTGGACTCATAGTGATTTTCCTGTTTTTCAGCCTCCCAAGCACTGGGATTACAGGCATGCGCCACCACATGTCTCAATCTCAGTCTCAGCATGCCCCAGGGGCAGGGCCAGCATGGTACACAGGGGATTGAGCCCTTGTCCCTGCACCTGTCTAAGCAGGGACTTTAATCCGCTGAGCTGCCTGGCTGGCCCTTGTTTGCCGGCAATTTATGTGTGTGTGTGTGTGTGTGTGTGTGTGTGTGTGTGTGTGTAACCGGGGATTGAACTCAGGCCCCAGGGAAGAGCTTATTCCACTGAGCCATCTCCCCGGCCCCTGCCAGCATTTTGATGGCTGAGGATTCCGCTGAGCTTTGTCTTTCTGCCTAAACCACACCCAGATTACATCATGAGTGATTAATCCCTGGCTGTTTATAGAACATAGATCAGGAATTTAAAGATATTTGGAGACAAATGTGAGTGCAGAGTTAGTCCAGATTTGCATCCCCCCCCACTACCCTGGTTATCCTGCCTATGCCTAATTTGATAGCAACTTTTTTTAGTAACTTCTTTTTATATCAAATCTATTCTGTTCAACTCGGTTTTGGGAGATGGTGTTCTTTTCCTATCTGAATTTCACCAGTGTTTACAAGTTTTCATTAAATGACCCCAGCCACAAGTACTGAGGATATACTGAGGGAATAAATTCAAGACATCACGGCCAAGTGTAGAGCTTGAACCGTGAGAGCAGAGGCTCATGGGTATTGAAGAGAGGAGCTGCCAGCCAGAGACCAACGTGTGGTAGCCATTCAGGATGAGGGGCATCAGAAAAACAAAAACAAAGCCGAACAACAAAAAAAGAAAGAAATATAATGCTGGGCATGGTGGTGCATGCCTGCTCTTCTGGTGCTTAGGAGGCTGAGGCAGGAGGATCATTGTAGGTTCGAGACCAGCCCGGCCTACAAAATGAGTTTAAGGCCATAAGACCAGCCTGAACTGCATAGGGAGACCCTGTCTCAAAAAGACTGGAAAAAGAGAAAGAAAGAAGAAAGAAAGAAAGAAAGAAAGAAAGAAAGAAAGAAAGAAAGAAAGAAAGAAAGAAGGAAGGAAGGAAGACGGGTGTAATATACTAGGGGAGCTAAGCCTGGTAATGATCCCTATGCATAATAATGACCACACATTGTCCAGTTTCACGTTGCCATAAGGAAATCCCCGAAACCACGTGTGGTGGGGGACACATGTCATCACAGCACTCGGGGAAGCTGAGGCAGGAGGATTGCAAGTTTGAACCCAGCCTGGACAGCTTAGTGACTTAGGGAGAGCTTGTCTCAAAATAATAAAAATGGCTGGCGATGGAGCTCATCCTTTTTACTGTCAAAAAAAAAAAAGAAAAAGAAAAAAGCTTATTTAGGTTATGGTTTTAGAGGGTTCATCCCAGCTGGGTGAGGTGGCACATACCTGTCATCCAGGCATATGGGAGGCTGAGGCAGGAGGATCACTCCAAGTTGGAGACTAACCTGGGCTGCATAGTGAGTTCAAGGCCAGCCAGGACAACATAGCTAAGCCATGTCTAAAAAACAACAACAACAACAAAAACAAACAAAAAAACAGTGGAAGAAGAAAAAGAGAGGAGTCCCAAGCCCTTTGAGGACGTGCTGCCGGTGACCTGCAGACCTCTCCCTAAGCCCCGCCTCCTACAAGCTGCCAGCTCCTATCAACAGTGCCACCTTGGGGATGAAGCCTGTAACACATGCAGGACCCCCTCCACAAGGGGCAGCTAGTGTTTCCTGTTCACTTTGTTCCAAACACCATGTGGAGCACTTTGTACCCCCGACCCTATCCAAAAACCTTGGACAGAAGGTTTTGTTGGTATCCCAGGCTACACACATGGAAACACGAAAATTGGAGAGACAAAAATGCTTATTCAAGCCACCCATTGTGGTTAGGGGAGGTTCTGGGGCTTAGATCCAGATAAAAATGATAAAGTGGTTTTGGCTGGTTGGTTGGTTTTAAAGGTTCTCTCTATGTAGCTCAGGCTGGTATTGAACTTGCAGCAACCCTCCTGCCTCAGCCTCCCAAGTGAATGCTGGGATTGCAGGCATGGTCCACCATACCTAGCCAAAAAAAAAAAAAAAAAAAAAACACGATAAACTGAAATGATGCTGACAGAGCCGTTAGCACAGTGTCTCAAGCTACGTAGGCGCTCAGGGAAGGCAAGTTTCAGTTAGGAGTTGAAATACTTCTGCTTGGTCAAAACCAAGCCTTTGGCAATGAGCTTGGATTTTGACAAGTCTCTGTGTGTATTTGTGAAGGACTCTGGTTTTCCCAAATGGGACATCTGAGCTCTGTGACATCTTCTTTCTCCAAAGCCATGAGGAGAACAGAGACTGGAGTCAGCTAACAGATTTTTTTTTTTTTTTGGTGGGGAGATTCTAGGATTGAACCAGGGCCTTTGCCCTGAGCTATATCCCCAGTCCTTTTTATCATTTTATTTTGATTGTTGGGTTTTGTTTTTGAGCCAGGGTCTCGCTGTGTAGTTCTGGCTGCCCCAGAACTTACTATGTATCCCAGGCTGGCCTCGAACTTGTGGCGTTCCCCTTGCCTCAGCCTCCTGAGTGCTGGGATTACAGGCATGCATCTCCACTCCCGGCTGTTTCATTTTGAGCCAGGGTCTCGCTAAGTTGCTGAGCTGCCCAGGCGACGCTCACATTTACCATTCTCCTGCCTCACGCTCCTAGAATGCTGGGGTGGCCGGAGAGTGACCCCATGGCCAGGAGACACTGAATAAGTGCTACCAGGTGCCAGGCAGTGGGAAGGTCCTTGACCTGTGTCCTAACAGCATGAAGCTGTCGTTGAATAAATAAGCAAGTAGATATGGTCATTTGTTGTTGTTATTTTTGGCCTTTGAGACAGGGTCTAGTTATGTAGACCAGGCTGGCCTTGAACTCGCAGCGATTCTCCTGCCTCAGCCTCCCAGGGGCTGGAAATACAGGTGTGCACCACCATGCCTGACTAATACAGTCATAATGCTACAAGTAATTGAAATGAAAATTGGACTGATGTCCTATTTTGAGAGTGCAGGGGCGAGTTGGAGGAAGTGGTGGCCAGGAGGGGCAGGAGAGGTCCGGGAGGAAAGCATGTTCGGCCTGGGGAACAGCCTGTGCCAAGGTCCTGAGGCAGAAATGCGTTTGGGTCCCGAGAAGCTGTGGAGGCCAGTGTGGCTGCGTGCAGCAAGAAGTGGGGCAAGGCGAGGGAAGGGGCAGAGGCTGCCTTGGAGGCTTCCAGGGCAGGGGCGACCCAAGGCGGCCGTGGGACTCGGGGGCCTGAGGAGGCCTCAGAGGATGGGGTGGCGGAGGATTCTGCCCATCTCACCCTCATCTCTTCTGGTTCTTTCTGCGCAGGGATCCACTGGGTTTCCTGGGCCCTTGGGGCCACTGGGAGAGAAAGGAAAGCGGGTGAGTCCTGGCCCTGGCTGGGGCACAGGCAGGGCTGGGGCGTGGGTGCCGGGGCTGTCTCTGCTCAGAAACCTCATGTGCACATTTGTTGTATGCCGCGCAGGGTCTAGTAGGCCACCCTGCGGGCGTGACCCCGCCTGCGCCCCGGGTCACATGCGTGTGTCAGGCACCTGTGCATGCAGGCCGGCCGGGCCCTGGTGAGGGAGGCGGGCCTGCATGTACATCCCGTGACGGTGCACAGCCGTGTGCATGGAGACAAGGACGCACGCACGCATGCGTCTCTGTGCGCACCGAGTGTGTAACACGCATGCACAAGCGAATGCGTTCATGCAACAAGGCGCCACTATATGTGGGCATCGCTAGTGGGTAAATAGGCCCCGCGTGTGGCACATGGACGTGTCTTGTGTACTGGTGTGTCTATCAGGACCGTGTCGTCACAGGAATCATGGGTGCTTGTGTTTTGGGGGTGTAAGTGGTGCCAACACCGGCTGTGGTGGCGCGTGCCTCTAATCTCAGCACTGGGGAGGCTGAGGCAGGGGCATCGCTGTGAGTTCAAAACCGTGCTCTGGGCTACACAGTGAGTTTAAGGCAGCCTGAACTGCAGAGCGAAACCCCATGTTAGAACACCATGTTGCAAGGGACGCTCCCCGCGACAGTCTCAGGCTGTCGCCTGGACCTGCTACAGGCGTGCCCGAGCGAGCACCGCACGGCTGTGCGGCCGTCCATGTAGTGCAGCTGGCGGTCTCTTCAGACGCCACGGGTCCAGCCTGGTGTGTCACCGGGTGTCCGTGATCTTTGGGCAGTGGAGCGTGAACTGCGTGCAAGGCGTGTGAATAAACGTGCAAAGGTGGGCAGCTTCCCGGACATGTGACCGGGTCCCCTCGCACTGCTTTGCACCCTGACTCTCTCCTGCTTTCCCCACCTGGCTCACATTGCAGGGGAAGGCGGGCCAGCAGGGGCAGGAAGGAGAGCGAGGACAGCCGGTAAGCAAGTGAGCGGGAAGCGGTGACGGCCGAGTGCTGGGACCGGGAGGGCTCGGTTACCTCAGCGTCCCTGGGCGGGCGGGGAGGAGGGATCGAAGGAAGGGGGCCCCCACCTCGTGCCACTGTCTAGGGTTCCTGACTTCTGTTCTGTGCCTTTTTTCTGTCCAGGGCTCCCGTGGAGAGAGGGGGCAGCCGGGGGCCACAGGACAACCGGGCCCCAAGGTATGGGTTTGGTGGGCAATCAGGACCCGCTGCCCGGGCTGCTCTGCGCTCCTCGCCTGTCCAGCTGAGTCTGTTCTGGGATCCAAGTCTCTTTCACTCTGTCCTAGGGTGATGTGGGCCAGGACGGGTCTGCAGGAATCCCTGGAGAAAAGGTGCGTGAGTGTGTGTGTGTGTGTGTGTGTGTGTGTGTGTTTGCACATACATTTTTGAGAAGGGCACAAGCCCAAGGTGTCATCATAATGCAGAGGGACAAACGCAACCTCTGAAATCAGAGCGCCACAAATTCTGCCCTAGCTTTGCTACTCACCGGCTGTGTGCCCTTGGGGAAGTCACTTAACCTCTCTGTGCCCTGATTTCCTCTTCTGGGAACTGGCAGTGACTTCAGTCTCCACTCCAATGGGCAGCAGAGGTGAAATAATAATAATAATAATTATTATTATTATTGGTGGTGGTTTTTCATTCTTTCTTTTTTTTTTTCTTTTCTTTTTTTTTTTTTTTTGTACTAAGAATCGAACTCAGGACCTTGTGCTTGCCAGGCAGGGTGCAGTGCTACTGATACATCCCTAGGCCCGTTTTCTGAGATAGGATCTTGCTGTGTGGTCCAGGCTGGTCATGAACTCACTCTCTAGCCCATGGTGGCCTCCAATTTGTAGGGCTCCTCCTGCCTCAGCCTCCCAGGTGCTGGGATTACAGGCATGCGCCACCAGGTGTGGCTAGAAGTTATTTATTGTGTGGAGTTCAGCAGTGTGTGGACGAGAAGTAGGTGCCCGATAGGTGCCAGCTTTCTGTGCCCCGTGGACTCAGGAGGACGGCAGGCAGCAGAGGTGAAGTGATGATTTCTGCTTCCCTTTCAGGGCCTCCCCGGATTGCAAGGCCCCCCGGGATTCCCTGGGCCGAAGGGCCCCCCTGTGAGTGAGGTCACCCCCGTTGGGAGACAGGAGGAGGGAGACCTGGGGAAAGACTCCAACTTTCTCCCACCTTGTCCCCCAGGGTCCTCAGGGCAAAGAGGGGGTACCAGGGCACCCTGGGCAGAGAGGAGAATTGGTGAGTGACTCTTTCACTTTGGCCCCTACCTTACCAGGCCCTCTCTGCCCTCCTTCCATGTGACACCCCCATTTTATCTTCCCTCCAGGGCTTCCAAGGTCAGACGGGCCCACCTGGACCAGCAGGTGTCTTGGGTCCTCAGGTCAGAGTGGACCTCATTTTGCAGCAGCTGGGAGACCTTGGGTCTGGGTCTCTGATGCCCCCCCCCCCGACTCCCTCAGTCAAATGCACCCTCTTCCTCTGCAGGGCAAGATAGGAGACGCAGGTGCCCTGGGTGAGAGAGGGCATCCCGGCCCTCCCGGGCCTCCTGGTGAACATGGGCTGCCGGGCCCGGAAGGTGGAGAGGGGGCCAAGGTGAGGACCTGCCCTGTGGCTGAGAGACCCCAGGTCCCTTTGATGGCCCTCAGGCCACCAGGGGCTGGCAGCCCGCATTGCGGGGAGGTCCCAGGATCACAGATTTGCAGGAGATGCCCCCTCTACATGACCTGTCTGCTTGCTTTACAATTCCACAGGGGGAGCCAGGACCCTTAGGACCTGCTGGGAAGGAGGGGCCACCAGGACTGAGGGGCTTCCCCGGCCCCAAAGGTGCCCCTGGGGACCCTGTGAGTATCTTTGGGGACCCTGCCCCATGTGCCCATAGGCTGTGTAGCAGAGAAGCAGTGGGGACTCAGGAGGGCCTAGTGGTGGTGTCCAATGGTGGGACCCAGAGGGCAGACCTGGGGTCCCCGTGGGATCTCTTGACTATGTCATCTCCTCCCCTAGGGACCCTCTGGATTGAAGGGTGACAAAGGTCGCCCTGGTCCTGTCGGGGCCATCGTAAGTAAAACTGCCTCTGTGGAGTGGAGAGTGGGGTGGGGCGATGCAGGGGACATAGTGTTGGTTGTGAGTGTCACCCTGGGGTCAGGCAGGCCCGGGGCACACTTGATCCTGCTGCTCTTGGGCTGGGCCGGTGCATCTGGCAAGCCTCGGGCTCCTTGTCTGTCATGGGACTCACACTCTTGGCAATCCTCCTGCCTCAGCTTCCTGAGTTCCAGGGTGACAGACGTCTCCACCACACCTGGCTGTCGCTCTGGGATAAAGCCACGGCCTTTTCTAATCCTAGTCACTCTGACATCCCCACCTCTAAACACCACAGATTGATGGCCACCCTCTTAATGCCACAGTGGGGACTTCATTTTCACACATGAACCCTGGATTGGACAGAATGGGGCACACACCCATGCCATATCTGAACTGAAGCACCCCAACAAATACCTGTGTGTCACCCACCAACATATATTTTCTTCTGGAGCTTACACTCCAGTATAGCCAGACATGAGCGCTAAAAAATAGCCCAGAAGGGAGGCTGAGACTGGAGGGTTGCTAGTTCAAGGCCAGCCTGGGCTACATAGACCCTGTCTCGAACAAAAACAAAAACAACTTACTGTAACCCTCTGCTCCTGTTTTCAGGGCTCCCCTGGTGAGCGGGGTCCCCTGGGCCCATCAGGTGGCATTGGGCTCCCTGGCCAAAGTGGCAGCCAAGGACCCGTGGGTCCTGCAGGCGAGAAGGGGTCCCCGGTGAGTGTCCCATGTGTCCCCCGGCATCCCAGGATCCGGTCCTTTGACACCCAAGGGCCTTGACAAAAAACAATCGATTGCTTTCCACCCCACCAGGGAGAACGCGGTGTGCCGGGCCCCACCGGAAAAGATGGGATCCCAGGTCCCTTGGGGCTTCAGGGCCCCCCTGGAGCTGCAGGCCCTGCGGGAGAGGAGGGGGACAAGGTGAGAGGTGAGGAGCGGGGACCCAGGGCCGGGGAGGGGCTGGATTCTCCTCACACCATTTCCTCTGCAGGGGGAGGTGGGTGACCCCGGTCACAAGGGCAGCAAAGGCGACAAGGGAGATGCGGTGAGTGAGGGGACCCTGCGGAAAGGGCAGAGGAGGCCAGGGATGTAGAGGTGGGTGGGGAGCAGAGGCCATGGTAAGTCCTGCCTCCCTAAATTTCATCTTGAGGGAGAGCCAAGCTGGGTCTCTCTCTCTATTTCTCCGTCTCCGTCACTTCTCTGTCTCTGTTTCTGTCTCTGTCCCTCTGCATCTGTCTCCCCACTCCGCCCCAGTGGGGTGGAGCCAAGTGAGGTCACTTTCGGGTGGGCGTGGCATGCGGAGAAGGGGTGTGGTCAGGGTGGTACTGGGGGATGTATCTAGGGCCCCTCGTCAGGGATTTTCTGTCTATTCCCTCTTCTAGGGCCCACCTGGACCCACCGGCATAAGGGGTCCCGTGGGACACCCAGGACCTCCAGTGAGTGCTCGCAGCTTTGTGATCCTCTGGGTCCCAGCTTCCACCCCACCTTGCTCTTTGTTCAATAGCCCATGTCCACTCCATCCTTGACCTCAGTCTCAGCTGAGAAATTCATAACCATGTTGCTGGCTCTGCTTGGCACCTGGTGAAGGCCTCCTTGCTGTCACACATGGCACAGGGCACCCTGGAGGTGACAGAGCAAGCACCAGCCAGTTTAAGCCACCAAACCACCATGGGGGTCCCCACCCTCATGATTGCACTTGGTCCTAATCACCTCTCATCAGCTCCACCTTCATAAAGCACTTAAAAGACAGTGTGGTGGTGCACACCTGGGGTCTCAGCACTCTGGAGGCTGAGGCAGGAGGATCTCTATGAATTCAAAGCCAGCCTGAACTATAGTGAGACCCTGTCTCAAAAACCAAACAAATAATCCCATTAACATAGGAATCTGGGATTTATTTTCCAATTTGTGAATCTTGTCTACCCACTCAAGCCACAGCATGCCCATGCTCAACCCTGGCCCTAAGCCCCCTCCACTGGAACCCTGCCCATGCCTTTAATCTTTTTTTTTTTTTTTTTGTGGAACTGGGGATTGAACTCAGGCCCTTGTGCTTGCCAGGCAAGTGCTTATTCTACTGAGCCATCTCCCTGGCTCCAGTGCCTTTAATCTCGGCCTGAAACTTAATTCACCATATGGCCAGCTCAAAACTTTGACCCATAGCCAAGCATTCAGAAGGCTGAGGCAGGAGGATTGCTGTGAGTTCAAGGCCATCCTGGGCTGCATAAGTGAGTTGAGGCCAGCCTGAACTGCATAGCCAGACCCTGTCTCAAAACAAGCAAAGAAACAAAAACCAACCCTTCCCCAAACAAATTTTGACTCAACCCTCAATTTCTTTCCTGAACTAGCACCCTTAACCCAAAGGAACCCCAGCTCCAATCCTCACCTTCCCAAAACAGAACCCTGACTCCAACCCTTGATGCCAGTCTTGATCTTTGACCTCACTGTATCTCTGACCCTTGATCCCTACCTCATCTGTGCCCTGCCTTTGTCCCCTTCCCAGGGAGCTGATGGAGCTCAGGGACGCCGGGGACCCCCAGGCCTCTTTGGACAGAAAGGAGACGATGGAATCCGAGGCTTCACGGGGGTGAACGGCCCCCCAGGCCCTCAAGTGGGTGACTGGGCTTGGGGGATGATGCCTCAGTCCCCGCCTCTGCCATATGCCCCAATCTTGCTTCTTTGTTCCACAGGGGCTTCCAGGCCCTCCAGGAGAGAAGGGGGAGGTTGGAGACGTGGGGTCCATGGTACGATGCCCAGGCAATATGGGGGAGGCGGAGTTGTAGGGTGGTGGGGGACCTTACCTTTAGAGCCATTTTGGGGTCCTGCAGGTCCTTGGTAGCATGGATGTGCTTGTCACAGCCTTTCTGGGGCTGTAGGGTCACTGGGCACATCTTGTTTCCTCACAGGGTCCCCATGGAGCCCCAGGTCCTCGAGGTCCCCATGGCCCCAGTGGATCAGAGGTAAGGACTCTGAGGAGCTCAGGGTGGGAACCCATTTCCCGAGATGAGGCTGTCGGGATTCCACACACCTATCTCTATGCCCTGCTCTCCTAGGGCCCAGCAGGGCTTCCTGGGGGCATTGGTCAGCCAGGCGCCGTGGGTGAGAAGGTGAGTGAGTGAAAGGGGTTGTGTGGGGTGGAGGAAAATGTGTTCTGGGGGCCCTCCCCATCCACTAGGATTGCACCTCTCCTCATGCTCACATGACCTCCTGCAGGGAGAGCCAGGAGACACTGGGGACCCAGGACCTCCAGGACCTCCAGGAACTCAGGTGAGTGGCTGTGTGGCGTAGCCTCTGGGTTCGTCTCAGTGAGCCCCTGACCCCTGGGCTTGTCAGGCCAGCCGGACAGCTGGAGGGTGCCACGGCCCAGGACCACTAGGCATCCCTGGTTACCTTGATGAAAGACCTCCAGCAGGTCTCAGCGAGCACCGCTCAGGAGTTCAGGGCTGACAGGGCGGCTGCGTGTTCATTCCAGGGGAGCATGGGCTAGACCAGCTTTGCCCTTGATGATGTGCAGCTGGCCGACCCATAAGCGCTAGGTCTCTTGACCTCTAACCATTGGGTAGCCTAAACCTAGGCCTTGGTCTGGCTTCTGACCCCAGAACAATCCTGAATCCACATCTGCTAATCCTTGATTTCTGGAGAGTCCAAACCACCTGACCTTTGACCTCTGTCTGTGCAAAGGGCCCCAAAGGTGAAGTTGGTGAGAAGGGGGACTCAGGTCCATCTGGTGCAGCTGGACCCCCCGGCAAGAAAGGTCCTCCTGGAGAGGACGGACCCAAAGGGAACATGGTGAGTGCTGGGGGGAGATGGCAGAAACTGGGGGACATGAGTACCCTTGAGTATCCCCAAAACTTCTAGCCAGGGGTGCTTTCCTCCAATTTGCTGTTCCTATAAGCAACCTGCAGTATGGCCGGCTGGCTGGATAGATGGGTGAATTAATGGATAGAAGGATAAATGGATGGATAATGGATGAATTGATGATCAAATGAAGAGAAGAATGAATGGATGCTGAATGGATGAATGAGGGTGAATGGATTGGTGATGGACAGAAGGACTGGATGATGAGATGAAAGGATGGATGGGTGGGTGGACAGATAGATGGACAGGCAGATGAATGGATGGATAAATGGATGGTGGATGGATGGATGAATGGATAGATGGCTGGATGGACAGATGAAAACAGTACAGTGGATGCATAAATGGACAGATGGATGAATGATAGGTGGATGAATGATTGGGTGGATGGATGGATGAATGGATAGTGGATAAATTAATGGACAAATGAACGGATGATCCATGGATGAGAAAGAATGGATGGATGGATGATGAATGGAAGGACTGAATGATGAATAGATGCATGGATGGGTGGTGGATGAATGAGTGAATACACGGATAAGTGGATGGATGGATGGACATACACGGACGGTACCTCATTGTATGGGCTGGGAGTTCATTTCACCTTGAGCCATTCTAGCAGTGCTGGAGAGACCGCGGGGGATACCGGGTCTGATTTGGGGTTGATGTGAGTTTGGCACTGGGCCATAGGTGGAGTGTTGGCATGGTGCAGGGAGGGCACAGGGCACCCTGTGGTCTGTGGGACCTTCCCTCCTCTGCTGCCTGCTGGGTGCCCTCTCTGGGTCCCAAGTGGAGAGTTCAGGGAGGCTGAAATGAGGAGACACAGGGGAAGGGCTTAGTTCAGTGCCGCCCCCTTGAACTCCGGTGGCTCTGCCCGCCCAGGCACAGGACTCTGGGCACCAGCATGTGCCTGACAGCTTGAGCTGGGACCATTTATCTATTCAGCCAGTGAATGGCTCACCCCAACCTGGAGATGTGATCATGAATTTTCTGTTTCAGGGCCCCATGGGGTTGCCTGGAGATCTAGGGCCCCAGGGAGACCCTGGACCTCCAGTAAGTGTCACCCCCTCCCCTTCAAGCCTAGCATGTTCTTTAATTCTGTCCCCATCTCCCCGCAAACCACAGAACTGGGCAAGGTTGGTGGTGCAAACATCCCTCACTTTCCTGAAAGCCCCACCCCCAGCCTTCATGGCCCCTGAAGACCTCTCTGTGATCCCTCTCAACTTTCTTTTCCCCCGGGCTCCTGCAGGGAACAGATGGCTTTCCAGGGGTGAAGGGAGACCTTGGTGATGTCGGGGCACCAGTGAGTGGGGTACAGGGGATGTGGGGTACAGGGGGTGTGGATGATGGATGAGCTGGGGGACTCACGGGGTGGGTTTGTGGGGCACCCAGGGCCCCTGCCTGTGCTCCTGCTTTGCTTCCCTGAGGGTCCCCCCCCCATATGAGCAGCTTGGGAGTCCTCAGGAGATGAGGTGCTTGCCAGAGGCTTTCTTTTGGTCACTAGCATCCCCGGGCCAATGACAGAGCTGCCCTTCTTCCCACAGGGGCCGCCTGGTGCTTCTGGGGAACCTGGTGCCCCCGGACCACCTGGCAAGAGGGTGAGTGATGGCCCACCCCCATGCCCTGGCCCAGCCCATGGAACCACTATTTCCACAGTGCCCCACTCACCCCGCACCTCCTTCCTCAGGGTCCCTCAGGCCGCACAGGTCAAGAAGGCAGAGAAGGGGACAAAGGTGCCAAGGTGAGTGCCCACCCAGTGCCTGCACTGGCCCCACACAGGACTTGGGGGCACCTGTGACCATCCAGGGCCCCCTCCCCTGGGGTCTTGGCCCTCTCTTACCCTACCTGTTTCAGGGGGAGCCAGGTCCTGACGGGCCCCCAGGAAGCACAGGCCCTATGGGGCCTCAAGGGCCCCCAGGACGAGCAGGACCAGAGGGCCTCCCAGGGATCCCTGGCCCTGTGGTGAGTGGGGCGGCCTTGGGGTGCAGGGTGGATGATGCCATGTCATGCATGGGTCTTGGCCAGGAGGAGCCTGAGGGCAGCAGGGCACCCACACTGGCTGTGGCCTGGCATGGCCACTCTGTTCTGCTCCATCTGCAGGGAGAACCAGGCCTTTTGGGACCCCCTGGGCTGATGGGCCCCCCAGGCCCCCTGGTAAGAGATGGCTTCATCCCTGGCGTTCACTCTGAGGGCCACACGGGGCACCCAGGGAGCACTGGTGCTGACCCCTCGAGGGCCGTTTGCACTGCCCGTCCCTGAATCTCTCTGATCATTGGCATTTATGGTCTACACTGAGCATCCACCCTGGTCCTTGGCCTCATGGTCTAAACTGGTCAGCCTTCCTGTCCATCCTTCCTGTCCCCGCAAACCTCGGCCACCCCCCAACCGCACCCTCCACCCCTCTTCTCTCTCCCAAGTCCCCACAACCATATCCCCAGGAGTTCCCCTTAAGAGATGTCTCCCTATTACCCGTGGGCCTCGGGCTTCCTTTCTCCTTGAGAGTCACCACAGTGCTGTGTTCTCCCCAGGGCCCCCCTGGCCTCCCAGGGCTGAAGGGAGATGCTGGCCCAAAGGGGGAGAAGGTAAGGACTCTCTCACCACGCCCACCCAGCCCCAAGTCTGCCCCTCACCCTCTCCTGCCTACCTTCCACCTCCAGCCCCCACACCTGTCCCTCCCACCTCGCTCTCCTCCAGGGCCATTTGGGACTGCAAGGCCTCATAGGCCCCCCTGGCGAGGCTGGAGAGAAAGGGGACCAGGGACTTCCAGGCACACAGGGCCCCCGGGGCCCCCAGGGAGATGCTGTGAGTGTCCTGCTCTGAGGAGGAAGATGTTCAGAAGTCGAAAGTGGGACTTGGGGGCGACTGGGGCGCGGAGGATGGGGTTTGCCAGGAGACTGCTAGTGGGGAAAATGGGGGAGGGGCTATAATCTGGTGACCTGCAGGTTGGAGGCTGGGTTAGAATTTGGGGGTCTCTCTGGCAACTTGTCTCGGGTTTGGGGGACTTCCTTTGAGGCGCTGAAGGCTTGGAACATCTGGGTAATAGGACTGCACCCCATTAACTCGGAGCCTCATGCTTGTTCCTCAGGGGCCCCCCGGTTCTATGGGCTCTTCCGGCTCCCCTGGGCCCCCCGGTGTAGCGGTGAGTATGGGGATGTTGTAGGACCGGGTCACCAGGCTGGCCAGGCTGGGACCCAACTTTCCGTGTCTCCACCCTGCAGGGCCCTGTGGGGCAGAAAGGCTCCAAAGGCTCCCCGGTGAGTCCCCCTTCCCGCCAAAGCCCAGCCGCACCCCAGTATTCACCCTGCCCACTGCCCTTTCATGGAACCTAAGACGCTGGCCACTTTCCTTTGTACACTGTAAAGAAAAGGGCACTGGCCAGCACATTAGGACTGGTCCAAGATGTCATGTTGATTTGGGGGACAGGAAATAGGGGAGGAAATTGTGGGCGCGACCTCTCGGTGCGAACTCGGCCTGGGACAGGGTGAGCGTGCGCATGTGCGAAGGCAGGGGTCCCCACGCAAGGCGTCATCCCACGCTACCTTCCTGCAGGGATCACTTGGTCCTCGCGGCGACACTGGACCCCCAGGGCCCCCTGGCCCCCCGGTGAGTTCCCCAGGGGCACCAGATCTGGGGACAGGGAGCATGGGACCATGTTTGGGGGTTTCGTGGGGACCCCAGAGCTCGAGGAGGTGTCCAGGGACCCAGGGCACCTGGGCTGCGTGTGTGTATGGGTCCTGTCCCTGGCTTCTTCCCTCTTCCTATCTATCTCTTCTTTCCGTTTCTAGCTGCGCTACTTGTTCATTTCCATCTCTCCTGCCTCCCTCTTCTTCCTCACTGGGGTCTCCATCTCTCCTATCTCTCTTCATTTCTCCCCATCTGCGGGCCTCTCCTCCATCTTCACCACCCCCCAATCCGTACCCAGGGTCCCCCAGGCGAGCTCCCAGGGCTGCAGGGCCACCGCCGCCGCCGTCGCAGTGCAGTACCAGAAGGCGGCCTGGAGGAGGTGCTGGCTTCGCTGGCGTCACTGAGCTCCGAACTGGAGCAGCTACAGCGCCCTCCGGGCACTGCCCGGCACCCAGGCCTCGTGTGCCACGAGCTGCACCGGCACCATCCGCACCTGCCTGACGGTGAGGCAAGGTGTCCCCCTCCTGGGCTGGGCGGGGTTAGGGGGTGGGGGGACAGGAGGGTGGGGTAGGGAGACCCCACTTCCACTCACCTGGCCTCACTGCCTCTGCAGGCGATTACTGGATCGACCCAAACCAGGGCTGTGCCCGGGATGCGTTCAGGGTTTTCTGCAACTTCACGGCAGGAGGACAGACCTGCCTGTATCCAGACAAAAGGTTTGAGATGGTGAGCAGGGAAACCACGGTGGGGCTTGACCTTCCCCTGTCCAGCTTTTATTTTACTTTATTTTGGGGTTTTTGTCTTGTTTTGGTTTGGCATGGTTTGGTTTTGAGACAGGATTACTATTCAGTTCAGGCTGGCCCTGAACACACTATGTATCACAGGCTGGCTGTGAACTCCATGAACTCCCAGCAATCCTCCTGCCTCAGCCTCTTGATTACAGAGTGCTGGGATTACAGGTGTGCACCACCACATCTGCCTTCCACCTAAAGTTTATTGAAAATCTGAGGGGCCAGGGAGATGGCTCAGTGAAATAAGCACTTCCCTGGCAAGCGCAAGAGCCTGAGTTCAATCCCCAGTTCCACAAAAAAAAAAAAAAAAAAAAAAAAAAAAAAAAAAAAAAAGAAAGAAAAGAAAAAATCTGTCACCTTGTCTGAAAGGACCTGGACCACAGCAAAGAAGCACAAAGAAAATCCTGGGGCTGAGGATGTAGAACACTTGCCTAATTTTCAGTTGAAAACTGAAAACAGAAAAACAAAACCAACCCCCCCCCAAAGTCTCTGTTCCTATAGAGCTCTGCAGGGAAGACAGATTTTAAAAAGAACAACATTCAAATCTAGTACTCTACTAGCCAGACATGGTGGTGCACGCCTGTCATCCCAGCAGCTGGGAGGCTGAGGCAGGAGGACTGCAAGCTAGAGCGCAGCCTGGGTGACTTAGTGAGACCCTGTCTCAAAATTGAAAAAAATAAATCACAGATAAATAAATGAATAGGGCTGGGGGTGTAGCTCGGGGAGAGTGCCCTGGGCTTACTCCCCAGTATTAAAACAAAAATAGCACTGACAAATCCTAAGTCAACTAGCATTTAAAAGTGTTTGTGGCTGCCAGGCTTGTCCCAAGGACTTTGCTCACTCGTAGTGTCCTAGCCACCTGATGACCACCGTTGCATCATCATCCACATAGGAGAAACTGAGGCACAGAAGAGTGCTGAGATTGTTCAAAGTGGTCGAGTCCCAGATGACCTTAACCGGCCAGCTGCAGTGCCTGCCCACTACTATCTTGTAGGCCCCAGGGGCTCACTGCCTTAAATGTGTGACCCTCCTGCCTCAGCCTCCTGAGTGCTGTGATTATGGGTGTGCAGCACCACCCCATGCTATAGGTCCTCCTGGAAATCCTCACCCAGCAGGCCTGAGCCCGTGGCCTCCCCACACAGCTGCCAGGTTTAGCAAAAGTGAACAAGGGGTGTGTGGCATTGAGTCTAAACTTTTGGAGGGGCCTGGGGAGATGGCTCAGTGGAATAAGTGCTTCCCTGGCAAGCGCAAGGGCCTGAGTTCAATCCCTGGTTCCGCAAAAAAAAAAAAAAAAAAAAAAGAAATACATAAAATGGAGCTCGAGAAAGTCACTGGATGTGGTGGTCCGCATCTGTAACCCCAGAACTGGGGAGGCTGAGGCAGGAGGAGTGCCACAGTTTGGAGGCTGGCCTGGAATACATAGTGAGTTTGAGGCCAGCCTGGACTACATAGTGAAACTATGTCTCAAAAAAACAAAAACAAAAACAAAAACAAGTAAAGGGCTGGTGAGATAGCTCAGAGGACTAAGCGTCTGCTTAGGCAAACACGGGCTGAGGTTGGGTGCTTGGCACTGCATGCTGGGCCAGCCACTGAGACTGGGTGTGGTGGTACACCCCTGTAATCCCAGTGGGGGGGGGCTGAAAACAGGAGGGTCATTATGAGTCCGAGCTGCATAGTGAGACCCTGTACTGAGAACACTTAAAAAGAAAAAAACAAGTAAATAAATAAGTAAACAAACTGTTAAGGCCAGGCATGGTGGTGCACATCTGTAACCATAGCTACTCAGGAGGCTGAGGTAGGAAGACTTCAAGTTCAAAGTCAGCCCAAGTAAATCAGTAAGACTGTTTCAAAAGAAAATAAAAAGGGGTTAGGGATGTTGCAGAGTGATAGAGCACTTGCCTGACATGGGAGTTGTCCCCATCCCCCTAGGTGTGGGTGAAGGCCACTTGGTGGGTGGGAAGCTCGAGCCCCTTAGGTGCTGCTGACTACACAGCCCAGGGTGGCCTCTGCCTGTACCTCCCAGAAGACGCTGACTGGGGGGGATGTGGGGGGACAGAGTGGGCATGGGGCACCTGCTGCAGTGACGCCACCCCCACCCCCAGGTGAAGCTGGCCTCCTGGTCCAAGGAGAAACCTGGAAGTTGGTACAGCACCTTCCGGCGGGGGAAGAAGGTGAGGCCTGGGCCAGGGCAGTGCTTGTGGAGGGGACGGGGGATCCCGTGTGGGAGGGGATCACGTGGCCCCTGGGAGGTCCGAGGTGGAAATGCAGAGGTGAGACTGCAGGCCTGGTGGAGCCCACATCTCAGCCAGAGCCCGGAGAAGGAGTCAGGCTTGTAGGTTAGCCGGGCGGGCACACAGGCAAAGGCTGGGTCCTGACAGCAGCTGGGGAGCCTTAAGGAAAGGCTGGCTGTGCTGTAGGGAGCAGGCGGAAGAGGCGAGGCCAGGAAAGACCCCGGGGAGGCAGGGAGCTAGCATTGTGCTAGAGGGAGGGAGGGAGGGAGGGACCCAGATCCGATCTGTTTCAGGAAAATGTGTTTGGGGCTGCTGTGTGTGTGGACTGGAGGCCGGGATTCCCAGGAGCACGGGCAAAGGGAGTGTCGGTGGGCGGTGGGAATTGAAAGAAGGCCGGGCTGGGAACAGGGTCTGGGTTCAAGTCAACAGGGCTTTGTAGTTGATGGGATGGAGAGGAGAGGGGAGCTGGGGCTCCTGGCCTGGGGTCTCTCTCTGGCCCACCTCAGAGATGTGTACTGACTAGAGCCAGTTTGAGTGAAGTTTAGGGTTTATGGGTGCAGCACGAGACTGCTTCTGATTTCGTAAAGTTCGCATCTTAATGGAAAACGGGTGGAGCTATAAAATGGCACAAGGGAGCCCGGTGTGGCAGCGCACGCCTGTCAGCCCAGTGCAGCCCTGGGCAGGCTGAGGCAGGAGGATCCCAAGTTCCAGGCCAGCCCCGGGAACTTAGCGAGACTCTGCGTCACAAAAGGGCGGGGTGGAGCTCAGTGAGAAGGCACAGCCTCACCCCTGCCGGCTGCACCCCAGTTCTTCTACGTGGACACCGACGGGGCCCCGGTGAACGTGGTCCAGCTGAGCTTCCTGAAACTGCTGAGCGCCACGGCCGAGCAGCGCTTCACCTTCTCCTGCCAGAACGCGGCCGCCTGGCTGGATGCGGCCGCGGGTGACCATGCCCGCTCGCTCCGCTTCCTGGGGACCAATGGCGAGGAGGTGTCTTTCAACCAGACGGCAGCGGCCACCATCGAGGTCCCCCACGACGGCTGCCGGGTAAGGCCGAGGGGCGGGGTTGGCTGGGGGGCAAGTGGGGGTCCCTGCTACCCGCCTCTGACACCCCTTCTGCGTCCCCTCTCAGCTCCGCAAGGGACAGGCGAAGACCATCCTGCAGCTGCGCTCCTCCCGGCCGGGCTTCCTGCCCCTGCTGGACGTGGCGGCCGTGGACTTTGGCCAGGCAAACCAGAAGTTTGGCTTTGAACTGGGCCCTGTGTGCTTCAGCGGCTGAGCGCCTGGGGACAGGAGGATGGCGCAGAAGCTCCTGCGCGGGCTCACACGCGAAGCCGTCGCCGCCGCCGCACTTACCATCTCCGGGACTCCGCAGCCGGGCGGTGGGAACCTGCTGGTTGTGGTCGTGTGATGTCCCTTGACCTCTCCGAGGGATGGCGGGAGACAGACTCCCGCACCCTGGCCGGCCCCGAGGGCCTGGCTCTGGTGGCATCGTCGTCTCCGTAGTCTGGTCCCTCCTGTCCCCCGCCCAGAGCCTGCATACAATGAACTTTTCAGTCCAAGCTGAAGGCTGCCCGCGCCACCACCCTCCACCCGAGCCCTTTGGTGCTACCTTGTCCCCCATAGTTAAGCACTGGATGTCTGCTGGAGACAAGTGGGGCCCTGCTCACCCCATTCTCACGTGGGGCCTCAATGAAGGGACCAAGTCAGACTCTGCTCCCCCAGCCCCCCACGCGCCCAGCCGGCTCCCAAGCTCGCCTTGCTGTGCCAGGTGTGGCGAATCAGGATCCTTATGGTGCTGCCCTATTTATCCCCGGGTCTGTACGGAAGGGAAAATCCCCTCTGTGGTGTATTTAATCTGTTTCCTCCCTAGGGAAAGCTGGGATAAGAAGAGAAACTCCAGCACCCCCTTTCCACCCACTGCTTCCCATTCACCAGGCCATAGAGCAAAACTGGCTTCTCAAGTCTGAGAATAAACCAATGAACTGTGCTGCTTGTCTCTCTTTCTTTCCCTCCCTCCCTTTCTCTTTTTCTCTATTTTTGCACGACTGGGTAAACCCAGGGCCTTCACACGGAGCTACACCCTCAGCCCTTTTTTATTTTTTTTGCAGAACCGGGGATTGAACTCAGGCCCTTGTGCTTGCCAGGGAAGCACTTATTCCACTGAGCCATCTCCTCGGCCCTCTTTTTTATTTTGAGGCAGGGTTTCACTGATTCGCTAAATTACCCAAGCTGGGCATGAAGCTGAGATCCCCCTTCCTCAGTTTCTCAGAGTGCTGAGATGACAGGCATGTGCCACCATGTATAGCTTCTGTGCGGGCCTGGATAAGGGTGGCTGGCTGGCCCTCGCTGCTAGATCAAAAGGTAACCATCAAAGTAGGCCTGGTGGCACATGGCCGTAATCCTAGAACTCTGGGAGCCTGAGGCAGAAATATCAAAAAAAGTTTGAGCCTGGGTGGGGGAGATAGCTCAGCAGCATAAGTGCCTGCCTGGCAAGTGCAAGGTTGGGAGTTTGAGCCCCAGTACCATACACACAAAAAAAGTTTGAGGCTATCTTGGGCAACTCAGCAACTGCCTCAAAATAAAAAATGAAAAGAGGGCTGGTGTTGTATCTCAGTGTAAAGGCTGTGAGTTCAATCCCCAGTGCCCCAGAAAAACAAAACAGTTTGGAATGGGCTGTTGGACTGAATTACATTAGGGCTGATTTGAGAAAGGGGGTTTTGTGGTGCGAGTGGTGTTGGCAATTGTAGAGTTGAGTAGAACCTCAGTTAAGATGAGGTTGGATTTGGGGTAACCTGAATTGAGGGTTAGATTTGTGTTGAAGTTTTAATAGCAGGCTTATTAAGACAGAATTCACAGACCATATCATCTAATTGTTTAAAGTGTATAATTAAATGGCTTTAGTGTATTCAAACTTGTGCAGCCGACACCACAGTCCTTTGACTAATCCCACCCTCCTCCCAAGAACCCCCATTGCCCTCAGCACTTGCTCATTTCTTCCCAGCTCCCAGCCCTGGTCAACCACTCGCCTATTTCCTGTCTTATAGATTTGCCCCTGAGGAGCTTCCGTAAGGGCCGCCAGGTACCACGTGGCTTGTGTTGCTGTTTTCCCTGGTTCCTGTTGTGACGTGCATCAGTATTTAATTCGTTTTCTCTCCCTAGACCTGGAGATTGAACCCAGGGACTTCACATGGGCTCTCTCCCCAGCCCTTTTTATTTTTTACTGTAAGCCTGGGTTTCATGGAAACACTGAGCTCCCTAGGCTGGTCTTGAACTTTTGATCCTCCTGCCTCTAAGTGAGGCAGGATTGCAGCTGTACATCACCAGAGCTAGCTGTTTCTTTCCTTCTTATGGTCAATACAGCTTCCATTGTATGGCTACACCCTGTTTTTATTTATCCACTTACCAGATGGATAAGTGGAAGTTGTTGGGTTGAGTTTAGTAGGGACAGAGGACGTAGGTGAGTTGAGTTGAGCAAGGTGGGGTTGGGCGGGAAGAGATTTTGGACTGGGTTGAGATTCGGAACTTGGCAGGCCTGGTGGCACGTATCTGTCATCCCAACACTTGGGAAGCTGAGTCAGGAGGGTTGCTGTGAGTTCAAGGCCAGGCTGGGTCACATGGAGAGACCTAGTCACAAGAAAACAAGCAGACCGAATCTGGAGCTTGCTTGCCCTCCTGTTGCTCCCAGCGATTTCCTGGGGGCCATCTGAATTCTTGTCCCGGGGTCCCTCATTCACTCAGTCAGTGATGCTGAGTCCTGACTGGGACTGATGGTGCCCAGGGCCTCGTTGATTAGTTCTCTGCTTCATTCCATCATTCCTGCCCTTGTGTGTTCATTTGTTCAGTTCTAGTGAGTATTTACTCAATGCCAAGCACTGAGATGAAAAACAGCTGACGAAGAACTGTGTGGTACCTCCCTTCAGGGTGCTACTCTGAGGGCTCTGTGATGCAGAAATGACTAGAGGTGCACGTTGGTACCGAAAAACATGCTAAATGCTCAAGTTTTAAAAAAATTATGATGGTAAAAGACACATTCCCGTGGATCCTTAAAATTCTTCCCTTGCTTCAAACACCATCCCTGCCACTTTGTGGAGCAGTTCTGGAATTCTATTTCTTTTCTTTTCTTTTTTTTTTTTTTTTTTTGGTCTGGGGATTGAACTTGGGATCTTGCGCTGTCCCGGCTGCCTCAACATCCTCAGTCTACTCAAAACATTTATCTGTCATGGTCATTTTGACTTGGGGAAGAGCTGGAAGTGCCATGGTGCCAGATCCCGTGAATATGCTGGATGGGGAGCGCGTTCATGGTTTCCAGCCTTTCCACTGCTGGCCCCAGCAGCAAAATTAGTATATTTTTTATGACACCTCATAAAGACAGTTTTTCTTTCACTCAAAGTCACACCCCAGGCTCCCTCCTCCCAGCCGTGCTAGAATCTGTAGACGTCCATGTTCTTTATATGAAATGAACTGGGATTCATATAGAAACTACACACACCCTCCTACGGACTTCAGTTGTCTTCGGTTACAGTGGAGCTCAGCGGTGGGGGGCTAGCTTAGTGTCCACGGAGCCAGGTTCCATCCCCAGCACCGCAAAGTAAAGAAATCTCAGCACGGTACACACAGCTGTCATCCCAGCCCTAGGGCGGCTGAGGCAGGAGGATTGCCATGAGTTTGAGGCCAACCTGGGCTGTACAGTGAGTTCAAGGCCAGCCTGAGCTGTAATACCTAATATAATATTAATGTTCTATAAATACTTGCTCTGTTGTATTATGTAGAAAAAAAATTGTGGGGCTGGAGAGATAGCTCAATGGAATAAATGCTTGCCTGGCAAGTACAAGGTGCCGAGTTCGATATCTGGTACCACCAAAAAAAATATTTGTGCATGTTTAGAATAGATACAGTTTTTCCCCAGATATCCTCAACCTGTGGTTGGTTAAATCCATAAATGTGGAATCCATGGATTCTGAGTGCCAATTATTTGTGGAATTTGATCGTTCCAATGTTAGTATATATGCTGCCGAAGAGAGCACTATTTGTGGATTGTGAAAAGGGCTTGGTTCTCTGAGTCACTGCTCAGAGACCTTTGTCAGGTGGTATATATGAATAAGAAATGATTTGATTGTCCTATGATGTTGAGGTTTAGGGGATGCTTGAGTGCAGCCAACTTTCACTGAAGGTGGGCATGTAAGCCTGCATGAGAACCAGGAGGCCCCACTGCAGGAACATGAACACATTAAAATTTAATGTCGGGCCAGCCAGATAGCTCAGAGAACTAAAGCATCTGCTTGGGCAGGCGCAGCAACCGGCGTTCAATCCCCGGCATGCCATACTGGCCCTGCCCCAGGGTGCACTGAGATGGGGTGACTGAGACTGGGCATGGTGGTGCACGCCTGTAATCTGAGCACTTGGGAGGCTGAAAACAGGAGAATCACTACAAATCCCATCTATGTAGTGAGACCCTTAGACCCTGTACCAAATACATAAATTTTTTAAAATGTGAATACCTTTGTCCTTAACAGTCCTCGGCACTGAATGTGCCGCTGCAAATGTGCTGTCCTCAGGTCCAGGTTTCTTACCCTTTGGCTGCTTCTCTCCTCTTCCCTGACAGCTATCTTTGCCTTTACCCTCCCTTTTCAGGCAGACTACACTAATATCTCCCTTTCTTTTTTCTTTTTCTTTTGTGACACTGGGGATAAGCACTCTGGTGCTAAGCTACACCCTACTCCTTTTTAAAGAAAACTTGATTTTGAGACAGAGGCTCATTCAGTTGCCTAGGCTGACCTTGAACTTGTGATCTTCTTGCCTCAGCCTCCCGAGTATCTGGGATATGCAAAAACACCAGCTTACTTTCTTCCCAAGAGTCATTCACTTAACCCTTCCTTTTCTCCTTGTGGACGAGGCCTTTGTGAGCACATGACCTGTGATTTGTTCAACTAACACTATTAAGAATGGTTACAGTTGCCCTTGTTTCTAGGCCAGATGATTACCATCTATGCCAGATCACAGGATTAACTTCTTCCTCCAACACTTGAGGAAACATCCGTTAGTCCTCTCTCACAGATAAGAAAATTGAGGAAGAGAGAGATGGAATAATTTGCCCAGAGTCTAAAACTAGAAAGTGACTGGGCATGGTGGTGCATGCCTGTAATTCCAGCACTTGGAAGGCTGAGGCAGGAGAATCACAGAGAGTTCAAGGCCAGGCTGAGCTCATAGCAAGACCCTGTCTCTAAATAGATGATTGCATGGATGGATGGATGGATGGATGGATGGATGGATGGATGGATAGGTAGAAGCTGAGCACTGTGGCACATGCCTATAATCCCTCAGTAGGCTGAGGCAGCAGGATTGCTGTGAGTTCAAGACCAGCCTGGGTTACAAAGTGAGGTCAAGGCCAGCTTGAACTACACAGAGAGACACTGTCTCAAAAAGACAAAACAATAACATAAATAAATAAAAAGATAGGTAGATAAAGACCAATAACAAGTTTTGTGGCCAGCTGTAGGCCAGCACTATGATAGGCGGCTGAGGCAAGAAGATCACTAGTTTGAACCCCGGCTGAACAATTTAGCGACCTAGCAAAACACTGTCTCAAAAAAAAAATCGGAGGGGCTGGTGAGATGGCTCAGTGGTCTAAAGCACCTACTTAGAACAAGCTTAGCAAAACACAGGGACCACGATTCAATCCCCCAGCACCACATGCCAGCCAGCCCCGCCCCCTGGTGGGCAGAGCTGCCCCCCCCAACAAATAAATAAAATTAAAAAAAAAAAAAAAAACTTCCTTAAAAAAAAAAAATCAGAAAGGGGTTGGGGCTGGAGCTCCGTGTCAAGGCCCTGGATTACAGCCCCAGGACTGGAATAAACAAAACTCATCGCTGAAGTCAGCACTTCATACATATTCTCCACGTAAGCAGCATCTCCCAATCCCATTTCACAAATGAGGCTGGAGGGAAACTGAGTCAGGGGGGAGGCCACCGCCCCCAACACGCAGCCCAG